AAAGTTCATTAAATAGTTTGAAAACAAATTATTCTTGCATTCTACATATATATGGGCATTTCCAAACAAATAACCAATCCAGAACAATGGTTGTTGAGCAAGATAAAGCTCACAATAGAATGTTCAACATAACAACCTACAAAGGGGGAATGTTTCAAAAATACATAACACACAAACAAACATGAGTTTGGGTAGAAACTAACAGGACTGGTGCTTCTAAACCAGTTACACACTTTTAAAAATCCTCCTCAAATAACTCTTCAGTCTTAATATACTGATCTGCAAAGTGTCCATGAACAATAGTTCAACAATTAGTTGTACAAATAATTGACACTTCTGAAGAAGTGAAAGGGAATAAAACATTTATTACATTGCATCCAACCCTGTGCCATTGAGCGTATGATGCTTTAACTGACATATTTATACTGAAAAAAGTATTTTACCCTCTTGATTACATTTTCTTTAAACATTTTGAGTGATGTCAGTGACAAACTATGAAAAAACTAAAAAAGCATAAAATGTTTTTAATATTAAGAACTAGTAAGTATGTACAAAGTCAAGACATGAGTCTTAAAATACACTGGCATTGATTCACTGGCTGCTGTTTGTCACCCGAGTTGCTTAACTGCCTATACGTACATACAAAATGCTCTACAGCTGTGTGGTTAGACACTTTCCACATCCTGGAGGAATTACACACAGGGTAATTAGTTGTTCAAACTAATTTGTTCTACTGGGCAATTAGGGCATGTGCATACCAGCTACAGCAGCTTGGCTCAGGCTGTCACACACGAGTAGTAACTCAATTGCATTCTCATCTCCCAACCCGCATATGCATGGCATCCAGACAAATTTTGGCCTTTCTGGTGTTTGTGATAGTATCTCTTTTTTTTTTTTTTCAGGTGTCTGTCTACTACAAATTTATTTAAAAAAAAAAAAATCAGTACATAAGAGACTAATAAATCAATACAACAGTATAATTAGCACCACCAAGGTGAGCAAAATCACAACTGGAAAACTGAGTAGTTGGGAAACATATTCTGTTTAAGAATTTTGTTTCACATTAGATGTTTTTGCTGAGTAACTGGATTACGTTGCATATGCTACTTCAAAAGATTTATCTGCCATCTTCTGTGCCCAGACTGAGATGAAACCAGAGGGAAATAATAAAGAGAAAGACCCACAACTGCTGGAGTTCTCTGTTAAATTTGGATGGGCATTCACTTAGCTGGATTGCTTCTGGGCCACGCGGTAGCTGATTGCCTAGAGCAAACGTGTTTGTCAAGTCTAGCCCTCAGTAAATAAAGAACTGTTAATTAAAGAACTGACAACCTACCAACACTATCAAAGTCAAGTAATAGAGAAGACCAGATGTTATAAACAAAAGGGCAAACACTGCCCCTTTGAGGTCTAAGGCTGGATTAGAAAGGAGGAAGAAAAAAGTTATTCTCCAAAATACATGGCACATTTGAAAAAGAAGGTGGTTCCTACTGCTACAAGGACCCAAAGAATACTCAAAATTTTAGGGGATTTCAAGCATGGAAATGCACTGAGGCATTTTTTTTTTTTAAATATCTAGATCTGTTTATTTTACTGTGCTAACCAAAGTAAAAAGCCCCCTTTCTTGAAAGTTTGCAAAGCTTGTATATCTGTAGGCTTTCATGGTCACGTGTACGTGAAGTGGTGAACCATAAGCTCAAAATTTAAGAGTCGTGGAAAAGCGTACTTCAGTTCTGAGAGAACCAAGACAGTCAGGGAGGGAGGTAGCGGCTACCAGTGCAGGCTGCATTTAGGTTCCTATCTGTGAATAACAAACGGGACCTGTCCAAGGAACAGAGCCAGGCGCAATGGCTGTAACCCATGGAGGTTCCTGCAAGCTAACCAGGTAGCAGCCAGTGCGCTGGCATGCAGAGGCAGCAGCACGGTGACGTCTATAATGGATGCACACTGTTGGGTTACAGCTAAAACCTTGATGGAGAGAAAAACGTAAGTATTCTTAACATATCTCCAGTATGATGAGAATATAACTTTGAGTTCATACACTCTTTAGTATTCAAGCATGAATTCCTAGCTCCAATGAGACTTTCATCAATCTGTTTCTTTATGTGTTATTTTAATTAGCATCTTTTGGAAGTTTCCTTCATAAAGTACTATTTGTATATTAAGCTGGAAGACAATGCAAGACTGATTAATTTGAAACATGATCATACTATTCCCCCCCCTCAGAATACTAATGCATACATTTATACACACACACATTCACACATACATATATTTATATAAATGTACATATATACACGTAGGATTTATGTGACAAGCACCTTGCTCAAACATGGTCTCTTCCAAGCATCTGCCTCAAAATCAGTCTTGCTTAAACAAACAAACAAACAAACAAAAGAAAAAGACAACAAACAAACAAACAAACAAACAAGAAAAAGATAGTGTTGAGACACCATGTAAAACATCAGGGATAAGGAGCACAATGTGCTACCCCACTTGGGGGAGACGAATCACACCTCTCTGTTGATGGTGTATGACCATCAACTAGGTAAATCACTCTAAACGGAGTTCTGCTTTGCTGCTTCTGATACCTATGGAAGCTGGCATATCTCTATACTACACTGCAGTCTGCAATACAAACACACTCACAGAGTTTAAGAGCATGCATAGCTCACTGGAGCATCTGTTGTTAGACAGTGAAAGGAAAGGCACCAAAACTGCACGTCCCATGCAAATGCAAGTGCAACGAGGAGAAGAAATGGAAACACGGTAGAATTTAACAGCTTCAGACTACAACTGTGATTGTCCCTACTACGCACAGTGGATCACATGAAATCCCATTACTTCTCCTACTTATCGTTTTCCTAACATGGCCTTTTCTGCCCTCTTGAACTTTTGTAGTTCAATAGCTAGTTCCCAATATCTCAGATACAGCCACATAAGTCTTCCATTTTGACTTTTGTTTCTGTTCAGCAGATTGCCACAGTAGTTATCATGTTTGAAAATATCTTTTAAGCCACTTTCCATATGTAGAGCCACAGCAACAGGATCTGTTGCTGCTTTAACTAGCAGATTTTTCTCTATTTCTAGTCTCTGGCTTCTGGGTACAACAAGACTGCAGTAGATGTCCTGTCTTTCTTTAAGTCCCTCTTCAAATTCTTTTAGTAAAATATTGGCTCTCTTTTGCCACTCTTCTTCCTTTGCCAGACAACTTTGGTACAAGTTACCTGCTGCTCCTGAGCGCAAAAGGACTTGTTTTTCTCGCTCTAACTTCTCCTGCTCCTGTTCTAGGATCCTTCTTTCTTCTACTAGCTTGCGACTCTGGGACACGAGGGCTTCACGGTAACTCAGGGTTCTGTTGCGTTCCTTTTCAAGCTCCAACTCCAAGTGAGCAACCGTCCGACGATTTTCTGTGATTATATCCCGGTATTTGGCTTCCAGGTCTTTTTGTAAAGATGAATGTTTTTTATAATACTCTTTTTTTTCTCTTTCTATTTCTTTTTGACATTCTCTGGTCCAGATCCAACCTATCATATATAAATGAGACTTCAGACATGAGTATAACACATATAACATTGATGGGTATGATTAATTAACTATGCCTCTAAAGAAGCTATTAAGTGGTGAAAAACTTTCTTTCCTGCCCTCCCCAGTGATATTCACTTCTATTCACGTCCCACAAAATGTATTTCTGTGGGTCCATGTTTCACAGTAACTCACTTTAAATGATGATGTTTCCTTTGAAGTATAATCTCCCCATGTCTTTTAGTGCTAATACATACACTTCTTGGATTAAAGAAGGAAAACAAAGTTATGGGGAAACAAACCGGAGGTTTCCAATGCAGGAACTGCACTGAGAACTTTTCAGGTCCAGTACATAAATATACATCAGCAGCTCCTTGGGTTGTTACCTTTGGGCTCTCTAGAACGTCATATGTCCACACTTCTGAGAGAGCTTTGTAAACTGGAGCTTAGTAAATATGGATTCAATTCCATGTGTGAAAAATGGCCGTTGCCTTAATGCTATAAACAGTGCTTACTGTTTATAACATTATAAATGAGCAGGCCAGAGGAAATGCCTAGATGGGGTATCACTATACTGCTTCAGAGATTCCCCTTTGGCTGGCGGGTGAGAGGCCTGAGCGCAGCCACGCACTCCAGCTCCAGCAGACAGGCCTGGGCGCTACTTACGGAAGGCGGCCAAGCCCAGCATGGGGACCAGCAAGGCGTAGTTCCATCGGCTGCCTTCATCCCCGGGCTCTCGTTGATTTGGCAGGATGTTCCAGTTGGGAGGGTCATTTAAATTATTCATGAAGGCACCTTAGATTTACAGGAGAGACACACGGCCTTAGCAGCACCACAGGAGCAGGGCCGCTCCCACAGCCACCCTCTCACCCGGACCACAGCTAACTCCGGGACAGCTATTTCAGCCCGAGACCCTCAAACGGCGGCCCCGTCGCTTGGGAACTTTGCTGGACGCGCTTTCGTCCAGCGAGAGGCTCCCCGGCCTGCTCCGTAACTGCCGGCC